TTATTGCAAAGAAGCTAATGTTGCAAAAGCTTTAGAATTAAGGAGAATAATGGAACATTGTCATGTGAAGCTTGATGTTGTTGCATATAGTGTTCTTATATCTGGCCTTTGTGCTAATGGTGATATTGAAGCTGCTTTTAAACTTTATGAAGAAATGAAACAAAGAGATCTATGGCCTAATACCTCTTTATATTTAGTTCTTATTGATTCTTTCTGTGTTGGAAATTATCATATTGAAAGTGAAAAACTTTTGAGGGATTTACAAGCCAGGGAACTGGTTTCTTTAAATTTGTTTGGAGGCGCCAAAAGATTGAATGAGTTATTGATAATTGCTAGAAAAGAATTAATTCGCTTGAGGTACAAAATGAGTAGAAAGTTTGGTTGATTGCATTATGCTTTTTCTTTCTCCAGAATGTGATTTGTTAGACGAGGCTCAGCCAACAGTTCTGTTACAAGTCCAGATATGATAATTCTGTATGGTTTGTATTGCATTCCTCCATTATCATTCTTTTGGTTTCTTGCACACTTGATCCTTATTTTTTTAGTGTAATTTCTAATTCACCCCATCGGAACTTTTTTTTTAGGTTACTCAGCATCAGGTTTGTACTTCATAGTCCATATGCATAAAATCCCACTTCTCATAATAAGGTTGTAGACAGTGTTACGAGAAGACATTTACAAGTCTATTAGCATAGGTCAGCTTCTTTTTTTTCCCTTCTGAACTAAATGTGTCATGATTAGTGTGCTATATGGTCTTGAAAATAGCAGTTTTTACTCAACAAACAAGCTGTTTGTATTAATGTGATTAGTGATGTTAGTAATCAGCTGTATCTGTTAATTTAATGGTATTTATATTTTCTAAATTTTGAAACATTTGCAGGTCCATACTTTTACTGGGTCAGTTCAATTTGCAGATTTGTTCCCTCTGTTTAGAGCAGTAGTGAGGAAAGAAGTGCAGCTTTCCCCTTGGTTTAAAACCTTTGGGAGACAAATAAACCTCATAGAAAAGAAGTCCTTCATCATAAGGTAAGCATTTATCTATATATTACAAATTTTTAAGTGTCTAGTGATGATTTTATTCTTGATGATTTTTAGTATTTACTGCTGGTATACTGTTCTGAATTCAATGGCAATGGTGATGGGTGTGGAGTACACCTGTTAAATGGACCATTCCATTTTTACTATTATCCACTTTTCGTGTTTCATGAAGTCACTAAGGGTGTGCTTATTGTGAATTGCCATATGTGGGTCTAAAGTTTGCATCCAAAATACTTTTGCAATTGTCAGCTAATTATAAATTCTACATTAGCTTCTGTGATAGAGTCCTTAGTTTGAACTCTGATATAGGAAAGGATTTATTATGTTGGGCAAGCAATGGAAAGAGCCCAGAATTTGGTAAGTGTATACTAAAAGGAATTTAGTGGGAAGAGGTGGCAGGTTGTTAGAATTTGAGGGAATGGGTCGGTGAAAAGAGGGTTATATAGTTTCTGCTTGCACGAAAAAAGGGGAGGAGGTTCATTTTGGTTATTAGGCCAGGCAGAGAGAGTATTTTCTCTAAGGAGCTTTTGCTCTGGTTGAGGGAGCGATTCCTCTATTATACCATTACCCTCTCATTCATCTTGGTATCATATTTGTTCTAATTTCTGGGTTCCTAACATACCCACAAGGACATGGATGTTAATCTGAATCACATATAATATCTACCTTTTTTTTGTTCTGTGCTAACTTTTTTTAAACATGAATTGAATTTATTTAATTTTTACTAACAGAATTTTATTGGTGTGGTTGTAGTTTCACACCATGATCTAATAGTGGAGTCATTTTATCCTGGTGTTTTGGTTGTTACAGCTGAAAATCACTGGGATATACCATTTTCAATAGCAATTGATCTTGATTCTGTGACTACCACTGACTCTTCTGTTGGTTCTGTTATACTTAATTCAATCTATTCGAAAGCATTAAAATCAAAGTAATAATGCATCACCAGCTCTACTTCTTAGGTTGGCCTTCAAAAGTTCCTTTCCATAGAAGAGCATTGATATTTAAAGAACTAAAGTTCCTAAGTTGAAATTGGTGCAAGTGCAACCATACAAATCCTTATGTATCTGCCTCAGGGATTATTGGTAAGTTCTCATTTGTCTGTGCATTATACTTATCCCAAGCTGTTCAGAAGTTATCTGGTTGGAAGCTTGTAGTGGGAGATGTTTTCCGTACTCCATCAAATCCTGCTCTGTTGTGTGTGATGGTTGGGGATGGAGTTCAGATTCTTGGGATGTCTGTTGTGACCATATTGTTTGCTGCACTTGGATTCATGTCACCAGCATCCCGCGGAACGCTGATCACAGGAATGCTGTTTTTCTGTATGATACTTGGTATTGCTGCTGGTTATGTCTCAGTTTGGATATGGACGACAATTGGATTCGGCGATCAGAAGGGTTGGGTTTCAATCGCATGGAAGGCCGCATGTTTCTTCCCAGGCATTTCCTTTATGATTCTAACAACCTTGAACTTCCTATTGTGGGGAAGCCATAGCACTGGAGCCATTCCATTTTCACTCTTTGTAATACTAATCTTGCTTTGGTTCTGCATATCTGTACCCCTTACCCTTGTTGGTGGGTACTTTGGAGCCAAGGCACCTCACATTGAGTATCCAGTTTGAACCAACCAAATTCCTCGCGAAATTCCCCAGCAAAAGTACCCATCATGGCTCTTGGTTCTGGGTTCTGGCACCCTTCCATTTGGAACTTTGTTCATTGAGCTCTTCTTTATCATGTCCAGCATTTGGATGGGTCGTGTTTACTATGTCTTCGGGTTTCTCTTCATTGTTTTGATCCTTCTTGTGGTGGTTTGTGCTGAGGTTTCTTTAGTTCTGACTTACATGCACCTGTGTGTGGAAGATTGGAAATGGTGGTGGAAATCTTTCTTTGCCTCAGGTTCTGTTGCCATATACATCTTTCTGTACTCTGTAAACTATCTTGTGTTTGATCTCAAGAGTTTGAGTGGTCCTGTGTCTGCAACACTTTACTTGGGATACTCACTCTTCATGGTTCTAGCAATCATGCTGTCTACAGGTACAATTGGGTTCCTCTCTTCATTCTGGTTCGTGTATTACTTGTTCGCCTCAGTCAAGTTGGATTGAAGACTTGTATCAGGTTAATTTGATTCTTGATAATTTACCTGCTATTCGGTTCACGCAGAAAGAGGGTTACTTCATGAGATGGACGGGGTTCCCTGTTGGTGTTAAGATTGATGATGCATATTATCTGTTTAACCACCTCAAGTTCAATGTCCTTGTTCACAAGTATGAGGAGACCAATGTGGCTCGTGTAATGGGGACTGGTGACGGTGCAGAAGTGATCCCGGTTGGCAAGGAGGGATCTTCTGAGAATCCTGGATACATGGTTGTTGGGTTTGAGGTGATTCCTTGCAGCATTATGCATAATGCTGATTCTGTGAAAAACTTGAAGATGTACAACAAGTATCCCTCGTCTATCCAATGTGATCCGGCCACTGTGGCAATGCCTATCAAAGAGGGTCAGCCTGTTGTTTTCACTTACGAGGTCACCTTTGAGGAGAGTGACATCAAGTGGCCTTCTAGATGGGACGCCTACTTAAAGATGGAGGGTGCTAAAGTGCATTGGTTCTCTATCCTTAATTCACTTATGGTGATCACTTTTCTTGCTGGTATTGTTCTTGTGATCTTCCTGAGGACTGTTAGGAGGGATCTGACCCGTTATGAGGAGCTTGATAAGGAGGCACAAGCACAGATGAATGAAGAGTTATCTGGTTGGAAGCTTGTAGTGGGAGATGTTTTCCGTGCACCATCGAATCCTGCTCTGTTGTGTGTGATGGTTGGGGATGGAGTTCAGATTCTTGGTATGTCTGTTGTGACAATATTGTTTGCTGCACTTGGATTCATGTCACCAGCATCCCGCGGAACGCTGATCACAGGAATGCTGTTTTTCTATATGATACTTGGTATTGCTGCTGGTTATGTCTCAGTTCGGATATGGAGGACAATTGGATTCGGCGATCAGAAGGGTTGGGTTTCAATCGCATGGAAGGCCGCATGTTTCTTCCCAGGCATTTCCTTTATGATTCTAACAACCTTGAACTTCCTATTGTGGGGAAGCCATAGCACTGGAGCCATTCCATTTTCACTCTTTGTAATACTAATCTTGCTTTGGTTCTGCATATCTGTACCCCTTACCCTTGTTGGTGGGTACTTTGGAGCCAAGGCACCTCACATTGAGTATCCAGTTCGAACCAACTAATTTAGATCTTAATTTGTCTAAAGACACACTAGAAATCTTCACATAGTAGACTAGGATTTTGAGCCCGAACGAGAATCCTAAGTTGAGAAATTAGGGAAAGGTACCTACAAAAGTTATTTTGACGTTCAAGTTAAAATAAACACAAATATTAATAATAGTAATAAATAAATAGTAGTTTTATCTCGTTTTGTGTGATTATTTATACGGACCATAATGGACTTGGATTTTGTGGGCCTTATTCTTTGATTACAAATTAGGTAATACGATCACTAATGACGAATTATCCCTTAATATTATCTGCTTTCTTCGTTAATCATGTAATTTATTAAATAACTGGGTTTAATAGTGTCAAGCATCTCGACACATTTGGTATTCGAGGGTGCTGAGACGATACAAAAAGTCACCAATGCAGGTGGAGGTCGTGCCTCTTGGTGGCTGAGATAGTTGATACGACCAATGAATGGTAATACCTAGTCATACGTGTCGACACATGTTTAACGACTAGGTTATGCATAAGGTGAAGACCTCGCTTCTCGACAAACGAAGTGGCTGAGTGGACCGACAGGTTTGAAGCACCCTGATGTAGATGCAACGAGTCAATCATGATGTGATGGTTTCGTACCTCAGTGGCCAAGATGGTTGAACCAGTCGATACATGACTGGCCAAGATAATTGAATGGGTATTCTTGTGGAATCGACATGTGGCATGACACATGGCCATCAACTCCTTTCCAGTACATAAGCCCCTAGGCTTAGGAAGCGAAGCGACGCAAAGGGTAAAAGCGAAGAGTCTTAACGTAACGGTCATGACTCTTCATTTTTTAGCGTTGTATTTAGGGAAGTCGAAGAGTCATATATTGTGAACCCTTGAATCGATGGAATCCAACAACTAATAGGGGTGTGTCACTTAGGGTTTCCACTCAGTGGAGACTATAAAATGGAAGTAGAGGAGGACTATTTGTGTTTTGCGAAGTTACCCCACAAAGTTGAGACCGAGAGTCGAGACTAAGAGTAGAGGCTGAGATTAAAGACCAAGAGCACCTTATCATCAAACAAGTATGTATAGCCTTTGATTTGGACGTCAAACGCCGATGAAGATTTTTGTGTCGAGATGGTGGAGGTTTGTTCTTCTTTCGAGGGGACGAGTGGGTCATCTTCATTGAGGATCGAGTTGGACTCATTATCACTATCGACATTGTCTAGTGACTCTGCTTCGGTGTCAAATGCCCCGGGAAGCGTTGAGGTTGTCCAACGGAGTGACCGAGATGGGAGTGACGACGGAGAGTCTTCAGCCATTGCTTCTAAAGGTCGGCCTGGCAGATCAGCACACATCTCCTCAAGCTAAAAGTTCTTGCCTATGGCTATTCCAGATTACAAGTGGGTACATGGGGAGGTTGCTAGCGTGTACTCTTGCTATACTGATAGGGTGTACTCTTGTTAGAATTTGGATCCTCTCTTACAATTTTCTCTCTCTAGCCTCTCTCCAACAATAATAATAATCATTAGATATATCTAATAGCTCAAATTCAATCTTATTAATTAATGTAATTTCTTAAATGATTTTATAAGATTGAATTTGAGCCATTAGATATATCTAATGGTTATTATTATTGTTGGAGAGAGACTGGAGAGAGAAGATTGCAGGAGAGGATCCAAATTCACTCTTGTTATAGTGAAATTTGAATTATTTTTGTAGTAACTAGTCACGATAAATGAAATTTATCATAATCTCAAATAACAAAAGGATATTTCACCTTAAGTTCTTTACTCATTTAAACCTCAAAGGTCAAACATCCAACTACAAATTAATTCAAACTTTCATTCTTATAGCCACAAATTAACATTTATCTCTATAATAAATGATGAAATAATAATAAAATCATCTTAGGAAAGTTAACAAAGCTAGATTATAATTAAAATTAATAGAAAAATAAATAAGCTAAATAATTTAGAATATTTTTAATTATTTAGAATTTAGTATTAGATAGTTTACAAAAATGAGATATATTAAAGAATATTAATATAATAAATGACAGTTATAAATAACATAAAGTAATTAAACAACATAAATTAAGAACACCTCTTTGATTATTTAGTGTAAAGAATAGCACAGATTATACAAGTAGATGATGTTAGGGACACCTCACTAAAATAAGTATAAATAAAATATAACAAAATAAATAAATATAACTATATAAAAAAATTAAAAGAGATAAAATTCTTCTCCCCTTATCTTAGTAGAAAAGTGAAAGCGTCTAAAAATAATCTAAAGCTGCCTGAACTCTTTTTCTCTCTTCCTTCTCAAATTTGTTTTCTCTCTCTATTCACTCTCTTCCGTCTTTCTTTCTACCCATGGTCCCCCTTGTTAACCTATTTATAGGCAAATTTTGAATTATATATATATATATATATTAGTTAACTATGAATGGGGTTTTAGAATCCCATTACTTAAGGATAATGGAAATCGTGAATTGATCAGATTTTCCATAACTTCCGTACATGCAACAATAAATTTTTATCCGCTACAGTTTTTTTAAATAATAATAATTTTATTACTTATATCAAACATTTAATATTTACATAATTAAAATATTCTTTTGAAAAATATTATAAATAAGATTTTAAAATTTTATAGTGTAATTAAATATTATATAATTCCATTTTAGTTTACTAACAATATAAAAATTTTAAAATAAAAACATTGTACTTAATCTATATTTATTTTTAAAATATGGTAACTAAAAATTTAGACTATCACTTTAAGAATAAGATAAAGATAATAAAATTGAGAATATTGTATCAAAAATTTAGAATATTACAATTCTCCTCTACTTATAGAAATTTCATTCTCAAAATTTTTTTATTGCTTAAAATAAATAATGATAACTTTTTCTAATTCTCTCTTATAATTCCCTATTAGATTAGTTATTTCAGTTAATTATTTTTAGTTAGTTATTTTTTAAATACCAGATATGTAGTTTGTTACCCGAGACACAGAGGGTACATATATCCTTCTTTTATGTAATTTTGTGCAACATAATATATTCAGAAAATTATTTTTATTCTTTCCCGTTTCGATTTCTTCATGACATCAAGATTATCATACTTCTAATATGGTATCAGATGAATAGTTCTTTTCCACTTCTTGCTTATGGGTTGTCTTACTACTGATTCTTGCTCAGTTCGTGTCTCTTTACGGCAACTACTTCCGCGAGTCCTCTTGCCCACCAAATATATCACTCCCGCATCAACAATGCACATGGTAGAATAGCTTACGGATCCAAGCAACCCCCTTTTTCTGCACCATTCAGATGGACCAGGGCTTGTCCTCACTTCGCAGCTTCTTGATCACAAGAATTACACCACTTGGAGTCGTGCGATGCATGTGGCTCTCTCTATGAAGAACAAGTTACCTTTCATTGATGGAACCCTCCTAAAACCTGATGCAGAAGATCCTACTTTTGCCTCCTGGAATCATGGAAACAATGTGGTTATATCTTGGATATATAACTTTGTCTCAAAAGAAATCATTACAAGCATTCTCTTTACTACAACAGAAAAAGAAATCTAGGACAACTTGAAAACCAAATTCTCAAGAAAGAATGGACCCAAAATATTTCATCTACAAAGACAATTAATGTCTCTTCAACAAGGTTCAGATGATGTGAGCACTTATTATACCAAATTGAAATATATCTGGGAGGAATTAGCAGGCTACAAACCAAACTTTTAGTGCACCTATGGAGGGCTTGAATCTCTTCGTAAACACAGGTAGTCAAAATATGTCATGTCTTTTCTCATGGGACTCAATGATTTGTTTTCCCAAATTCGTGGCCAGATCCTTCTCTCTGACCCCCTCCCTTCCATTGGTAACGTCTTTTCCCTTATTCTTCAAGAAGAAACACAGAAAGAAATTGTTGTCACTCACACTACTTCTGCTCATTCTGATGATATGGTTTTTGTTGTGAATCAAAGCTCTAAAACAAATTTTGATAACAACAAAGTTAAATTTATCAAGATAGAAATGCCCAAATGTGCTCATTGTGAGATGTTAGGACATACCAAAGATAAATGTTACAAACTTGTGAGTTACCCTCTTAACTATTTCAAAAATCGTCAACCACAAGTTGTAAATCAAGTTGACATTTCACCTGAATCCTCGAAATCAAATACTACCTTAAATCTGACCCCTACTCAGTGCCAACAATTGATGGCTCTCTTGACCAATCAAATACAATTAGAAGACAATCTTGATGCTATAGCTACCAGTGTCATAGGTATATGCATGAATGTGGATTTTTCTGATAAAAACCACATTTGGATTATAGATTCTTGTGCTACTTCACATATATGTTGTTCAAAAACCCTGTATAATTCATACTCACCTCTTATAAATTCTCATGTCTTACTGCCTAACTCCACTAAAGTCCAGGTAAAAGGCATAGGAAGTATAAATCTTAGTGATGAGATTTTCCTGCATAATGTTCTACATATACCTACTTTCATATTTAATTTATTATCATTGTTAACTCTCATCTATGATAATTGTTTTAGATTTGTGTTTGAACCTAACAAATTTATTCTTCAGGATCTGAAAACCTTGAGGACGATTGGCATCGCTAAACCACATCAAGGGCTTCTCTTATTTGAATTTCCCAAATTTTTTTTTTATAAATTATATTTGTAGTGAAATTTGTAATTTTGTTACTTATAAGACTTGGCACCAAAGGTTGGGCCACGTTCATGCTGCTGTTTACCAAATCATTGCTAATAAAACTCAATTGAGTGATATTGATTCTAATTTTCATTGTAGCACCTGTAATCTAGCAAAACAAAACAAACTACCTTTCATAATTCTAACAAATTTAGTGTTAATATTTTTTACTTAATTCATACTGATATTTGGGGACCTTTTGGGATACCTACTTATGATGGATATAGATATTTTCTCACCATAGTAGATGATAAAACTAGAATTACTTGGATATACCTGTTAAAGAAT